TGGTTTTCACAGGCATAAAAGACATTGCTATTCAGACTTTACTCCCTCCAGTTGATTTCCAAAAGTGATGCTGGGTAAATAAACACTAGGACAGCATCACAATTCTTGCCCTGCTAGGCACATGGTACACAGTGCAAGACAAAGCAGACATGGCCCCTGCCCCCCAGGAATTTATAGGTGCCTGTTGGAAACCAGCATTCAAACACAGAAATGATGGCAAATTTGAGAATACGCTGTGAAGGGGGTGAAAGTGTTATGGCGGTATACAGCAGGGGCCCTGCGTGGAGAGGTTCATATTTAAAATCATGACGGCTTCAGACATCACAGGGTCTGAGTTTGCAAACCTGAGTTTGTGTACGCCTTTGCAATACGCTGTGAAGGGGGTGAAAGTGTTATGGCGGTATACAGCAGGGGCCCTGCGTGGAGAGGTTCATATTTAAAATCGTGACGGCTTCAGACATCACAGGGTCTGAGTTTGCAAACCTGAGTTTGTGTACGCCTTTGCAACTCTGTCCCTGAATAGATAGGGCTGCTACAGAATTACTGATCTCTAAGAACAAACATTTAAGCATAAAGTCAAATTAACAAGCGATATGCAGTTCTGTTTACCCAAGGCCTAACTAGCCATTTTCGGAACAGGAAAAAAGGATTTTGTGCCTTTCTTGCTCATATCCTTTCTATTTTGATTTTTGATGATAAAAACTCGAAGAGGCCAAAAGTTTTACAATTAAGTCATTTGTAATACTTCTTCTATCAAAAATGAAGGAAAAATAACTTCTTAAATGTGTAACTCATTTCAGAATCAACTACATGTTTAATTACAGTGAATCAAAAACAAGTAGGCTTACGATCAAACTCAGTCACATATAGAGAAGACCCATTTCCTCTATAGCTTCAAAGTTTATGGATTTAACAACAGTATCTTAGATTAAGCCTAATTTCTAAATCCCACTGGTCAGTTTTAAGATATAAACATCACATAACTTTATCAGCATAATCCTATGTGATTACTTGCTGAGAAAGAAAAAGAATTTAGATGAGGTTACAGCCTTGGAGTTCACTAGAGAAAACAAAATATGGGCTGAAACATTCAGTCATGAAATTTTGTGTAATGATTTGAAAGCATCTTACTGATTTTCAACATATCACTAATTTTCACTGCCTTTTAAATGAAGTTCTATGCAACAGATTTACATATCTTTAGTAATCAAATTAAGGCAAAAAGTCTAAAAGCCTTTTCAAGGTCAGTAGTAATGTTAGATTTTGAACACAAGTCATTAAAATAGAGTATATTTCTACAGTACATTCTAGGAAATGATCAAACTTAGCTAGAATCACCTGGGGACTTGTCAGAGACGCCCAGGCCCAACTCATAAGAATCTAATCCGACTGGTCTCAGATAGGACCCAGCTTTCTGTGTAGCAACCTCACACACACGCGTTCAACGTGCACACACACATCCATCTTGCTCTGGAGATACTAATAATAAAACCTTGACTTTACATTCAAGCTATATCCCAGAAAGAAAAGACAAACCATTCCTGATTATCAATGGTAAACTTCCATTTAAGGGAAAAACTTCTGCCCTAATAACAATCATTAGTGTTGACATCATCATCTCATTCAAAAACCGATTTGGGCAAAATAAAAAAGTTTATAAATCGCCAAACATCCTACTCAAAGCAGCAAAAGAGACCAAAAAGCAAATGACGCTTTTCTCCTTCTATCATTTGCAATGGTGCCCATTAGGTATTAGCTATTGGTATTAGAGTATTAAGGTTGAACTATCTTGTGAAAAACTTTCTTTCCATTTATGTTTGTCGCTGTCAGACTTTCCATTATAAATTTTAAATTCTCTGCCAGTAAAAGTAGTATGAGGTTGCAATTTGGCAAGTGCACTTTAAACCTGGGTGTGATTTCCATACCCCAATTTGATTTAAATTAGTTTTGCCATATTTACTGAGAACTAAAAAAAAGTCCATTTGGCCACTTTTGTTTGTTTATTGGCTCATAATTTCAAAAGTCTCAAAAAGTCACCCTGTTTACTTCTGATAAATTCACATGGAAATGAACTAATGAATTCATATTATCCTGTTACTATTTTTAATGAAAACAACTTAATAATAAAAAATCTGCCACTTTTGTTTTTCTACTAAAATACCCATTTTTTTAAAAAAAGCCATGTGTTGTATCACCATTAATGTTAAATCCTTAAGAGAAAAATAATGGAGATATATATATATATATATATTTTAGCCTGACGTATTTTTTAAAACAATATACATGTCATAATAATAATTTACTCCTCCAGGACAGTGTTTCACTACCTGTTGCTTACCATCACCATTTCTCTACACCAAACAAAAGGCTGTTGGGACTGGAATAAGTGTGTTCCCATATAACACTGCTCATCCCCTTAAGTCCACAGGATACACTGTTATATCTATAACACGATAAAGCAGCTTTTGGAGCTCTTTTGGGCATATCATCTAGAGGTTTTCTATCCAACATCTCCATCACCTAGTAAACAGGAGAAAACAAAAGCCTTCCCTCCACGAGAGTCACTCACCTCGTCACACAGTGGAAAATCATTTCAGCTGTGATCTGCTATTTAGACTTGAAGCCCAAGATATCGAGATTTTGCCTTTCTTTTTGGTTTGCATAGCTGGTGTTGTAGTCAGGGATTCAAAGAACAAAACGGCACAAGAGAAACGGATTCACTGGAAGACACACTATGGTCTGTTCTATTCTCAAATTTCACAAAGCAGAAATTCGTACTACACACACTTACATCTTCAGCCTCTATTTTTTTCCTCTATCAGGGAATTTCCAAAATTTCGCCTTTATTTATCCTTAAGTAATCACACTGTTTGTGGATACTGCTGAGATCATGCTAAGCAGAGAGATAGTCGATTCTTGCAAGACTCACAACCATGAAAAGCAGAAATAAGAATGAAGGAATCGCCACACTCCACAGCCATATAATAAGGCTTTTTAAGACAAGCATATGCAGTCGTATTCCTATATATAAAAGAATTTTCCTAGACAAGTGTCTCAAAATGAACTGCCCAAGGCCCAGAAATTCAGCCACCACACGCCCTTCCATCCACCTCTACTCCACCCTCTGCCCCTTCCCACTTCTCACCTTATGTTTGCAAAAAAAATTAACTTCTGTTTCACCCGAGGGAAGTGTTGCCCACAACGGCAGGAGGAGGGTCTATGCTGTGCACACACAGACAGACTCACACGGTCTGGATGATGCTTTCACAAGTTAAGGGGCCTCACGCTTACTCAGCAGAGGAAATCTTTGTGTCTGTGAGGAATCACGCCAATTCCTATTAGTAAGAAAGGATACAGGGGCGAGGAAGCCTATTCTTTCAGTGACCAGAAAAAGGGGCCCAGCGAAAACAGAGACCTCTGCCATGACCATCTGCAAAAAGGAAGGATGTTGTCAACTTTCTTCTCCCCAAAACTCTAATGACCTCCGCCTTGACCCTCAGAAACCAGATCCACAGGAACAGGCTCTTCTGCAGGAATCGAGAGCTTTACACCAGAGACACAGCACTAAGAGGCTTGTCGCCCAGGCTATCTCCCCCGAACATTTGCACTCACATTCCAAAGATGTTTCCGTTGCGCTGGAATGGCTGTAAATTTCTTTCCTGCAGAATTCTTTCCAAACAAACTGCCACGAACTGCACTCAGGCAGGAGTTCTAACCAAGCACTGTTCGCCTCATTGCAACAAATCTTTAGATACTGAATATGACTGAACTGGTGGCTGAGCCAAAGGAGCAAACTTTTAAAATGCAAATATATACAGGAAAAAAAAAAACCCAACTCACCAGAATTCCACCTTTAGTGATATATGGCTGATACATAAAGGAAACTTCCTTCATAGGCTCTATTTAACTACTAAACTGAATATTTGCTTCCATTTTTCACATATTGTATTAAACAGGTTGTATAAAAATTTTTAAATAGATTTTTTCCCCCCATATTATCAAAGAAAATGGGACGGCAAGAGAGTTCAAGAGAGTAAACATCCCCTTTCCAACATAAAAAGAATACATTCTGTTTGGGTGAATAAGAAAACAGTAGAGAGCTTTGAATATTAAAGAGTGTTATTAAATTCTATCAACAGTTTTACAAAGTAAGAAGCCAATGCACTTATAAAAAGGAATTAAAAATTAAAAAAAAATTTTTTTTAATATAGGATTAATACTGATTCTGAAATTAAAAAGAAAGCATCTATAAAAACTCAATTGTCTTGAAATAAAACTTACACTTTTGGCAACTGGTAGTATTTTTAGAAATAGGCTATCTCCAGAGAGTTCAAAGTATACAAACGCAGAGAGCACAGTGACACAAACACACATGCTATACCTTTGTATGACACTGGCATTTTATTATTTAATTAAAGTACTCTTATTTTTCTAGCTCACGCATGCTTCCCTTGAGACGGCTTTGCTGTTAGCCTGCTGGCCTTGACTTCCAGCCAAAAACAATTCAGAAACAAAAAGGGACAACAAATCATATTTTCACAGACATTTTTATCCCTCAGTACAACCTTGTTTTCACACAACATCACACAGCCCCTACAAAAACTATAATTTAGGGCGCTAGCCACCCGAACCCAGGGTCTGACACATGGTTCCACCAAGTATTTCCTGTATAAGAAAATCTTAAGTTCTTAATTGCAACTAAACTCTTTTGATGGAACCACTTTAACCAACATTGCTGGTTTGCAAACAGTGCCCCTGGTACCGGCTGATGGATTAAAAAATAAAAACAAACCAGTGAAGGTAGTTCTGATACAGCAGAGAGCTAAAGATGAGGTGTTTATTAGTTCTAAGCTCTGGGTTATTATATTACTTAGAGAGTCGTCAGCAGACTTTCAGTTCATCTTCTTGTCACAGTTTAAAATGCATAATCTAATTTACAAAACAAACTGATTTACCAGGTTAATTCTCTCAACTCTTCTGCAAATGATATTCTCACTTACCTGGTGGCAACCCTGTAAGTTTGATTCTCTCCCATAAGATGAGTATGAGCCCCTTTCTGTTTTACCTGCCAAGAGAAAAAACAACTAAGTGTAAATCGTGTTTTTCCTTTAAAAAAAAAAAAATCTCCTCCAGGTAACAGGCATCTACCTCTCTTTCCCGATGTTTACATACGTAAAGTAGGCACGGCTGGCAATGTAGGCAAGCAAGAGAGGGAATAACGCTTCCTCACTCTGGCTATGATAAACTGGAAAAAAATATCCTTCATTCCTATTCTTAGCCAAACTGCTCCACACTTCCAAAAACTGTCATTCCAATGGCCTCCACTTTCTCTAACACACAAATTGTCATTCCTTGTTTTCATTTTCTTTCTCTCTCACGAAATTTAAACAATTTCATTTTTATTTACACAGCAGGCAAATTATCTATGTCATGACCCTCGCCTAGTAATTCCCATTGATTATATTGACACTTAATGGTGAGGCCAAAGCTAATCAATCACAGGCTCTCCAGATGGTGAATTTAGCAAAGAAACTATTCAAAATTCTGAGTTCCTCTCTCTCTCATTTTTAACTGCTTTTCCCAGGAGTAAATCCCATCATGAGCAAGATGATGATGGAATTCACATTTGGGAAAGAGGGTTTTTGAAAAATTGTCCACTCTGAACCCAGGTTCAGATTCCACTAGTAGACCCAGAAGGACAAGGGATCATGGAATGGAAAGGTCTTGTTCCAGTTCTAACAACCCAACGTTTATCTGTATCCTGCTCTACAGAGATTTACAGAGCCTCTGATGCTATTTGACCGCATCTAAGGATAAAATCAAGGCTGATCAGTTGTTTCTTTTCAAAGTATGTTTAGCCTTAATAATCAGCAGGGAAGATAGTGAAATCATATTATAAGAGATCTAAGCAGTAGAGTCCAGCTGGTGACCTATGAAGAGCCACCATAGAAAACTGTCCATACCAGGACATTAAAAGAGGCTAGTGAGGGAGCCAAGTCCCCAGAACCTCACCTCACTCAAGACTAAAGGATACTTCTTTCTTCAAGTCTAAAGCTTCAAGATACATTGTACTTTATACATAGAACTATACTATTTTTTTCCTGATGGGAAAATTCAAAATTTATATTTTGAGGGGCTGAATAGACAGATAAGTTTATATATAGATATATAAACTTCTACAGTTGACAATCCCCAAGTTTTCCCCTCTCAAACCAAGTTAACACAAATGCTAAAAGTAACAGTAGTTTTTTATCTTGTAGTTCAATGGGCTGTTATTAGTGTATGCCCTGCTGACACCACATAAGGAATGCATCTTTGATAAATTTCATATCCGATCAAAAGTACACCTTGCATCTAAGTCACTGTATATAAAATGGAAGGTAATTTTCCAAGAAACCCAAACCTGAGTCTTAAAATTAACCCTCTCTCCCCCAGTATTAACTTTTCTTCTGATTTCAATGAATCTCAAACTTGAGAAAACAACCCCGTCCCTATTTTTGGCACAGCATTCAGAGCAAAGTATAAAATCAATGCCCACATCAGTTTCAATTCCAGTGAAACAGGACTCTGTCACACAGACTGTCACTCTTGGGAGACCAAAGAATAACTTTCATTGTATCAGGATTTTACATTAAAAAAAGACTCATTTACCTATATTAGCAGAGTGAATGGACATACAGACATATTTACTCATCTGTGTAAGTCAAATTTAAGCTACTTATATCCTTCATCTTCTCTCTATAAATACTATTAACAGAAAAAGCTCGACCTTCATGAGCTATCAAAGGACACACGTCTTTCCTTAAGCTCTTGCATCTAAAAAAGCTTCAATACAACTACTACATAATTCACTTTGACATAACATTCACTTGTTTAAAAACTAGACAGGCAGGTAGGCAGACAGACAGACAGACAGACAGACAGACAGACAAAGTAGATTCAGCTCTGACTTCATAGGAAATTGAACACCGAGTGCCCTGTTACCAATAATCTCTAAAAATGGAATTGTAAAATACACTTTTTTCTCTAGAAGGAATTATTGAAGCTATCTATCCGCTATAGAATCTCACCAGCCAGCATCATTTCCCAACTTGAGTCCAGCACAGAGAACTGGAAAGAGGAATTTTCCTACCAAGATTCATCTCACTTCATATACAGTAGGTGCGCTATTCCTTCCTTTTTTAAAACTAGAAGGGCAGTGAAAATATTAAGGACTAAAAGAAAGAAAGAAAGAATAAGTGAGAGAAAGAAAGAGAGAAGGAACGGAATGGAAAGAGCAAGGGGGTAGGAAGGGAGAGGAGGGGGAGGAGAGATGAGGGGCATATGAATCCAGGCTGCACAGAATCCCCAAAGTCCTCTTGGCTACAAGGACCCAGCATTCTTTACTATCATATCAGATACAGACTGCTTAATCTTAATTTTGCTTGTTAAAAAATATTTATCCAGATACAAAAATAAACCCACTGCAAATTACAAGTTGTCAGGGTTAAAAATCTACTCCTGTTTGTGTGGGGGAGGATAAGAGACCAGCATAGACATGAATCATTCTCAGTAATTTGAGTGTTTCCATGACATCAATGGGCACCCGTCCAGGACTCTGTCTAAGTCTGCAAGGTACCAAAGAGGCAGCGCAGCCAGCAGGAGGCTGGGAGGTGGACTTATTTTTTTTTTTTTTTTTTTTTGGATTATGCTCCTTGTAAAGATTTCATCTGCAGCATCCACTTTTACCATCAAATAGATCGCTCTGGAGATCATGAGCGAACACATTTCATTCTGATAGTGTAAGCCTTTAACTTTATTACATCTTTTTGTTCCCAAATTCAACTATAAATCTGCCCTCAAAGCCCAAACCCCTGTTTGGGAGCAAAATAATCAGGGACTGTGGATAAAGCCCAAGCACCTTCTCAAACATAAGATATCAATCCCTATAATTTTTTAATGATTAAAAAGCAGCCATTTTAAAGTGATACTTCAGTTTCCAGGAAAAATAATCTTTTGTTTAAATTGTCCATTAAAAATTAGCTATGGTCTTGATGTTGATTTTCTGCTTAAAATTCAATTGGAACATTTGTTTCAGATAATAAAATTTTCAAGAGCGCTGATAACATGTTTGAGTAGGATCCTTAAGTAACTATCTGTGCTCAGGAACACAAAAGCTCCTAAATATCTGCGTTTACTCTATGTCAGGCATGGATTTTTGTCACTTATACCAACTGGCCGGTGTGGACAGCTTCTTTCCTCCTTTCTCCATTCTTCACCACTCCCCTCCCCGCATCGCCACAACCACAACGGAGATTTGAAGCTGAAGATCCTAATTTTCCAATATTTAAAAGAGATAGCAGTGATGAACAAACCCGGCGCGTTCACTGCAGAATTTTCGAGACAACCCTCCAGTACTAGAATGCGACAGCCGCTGCGGATATTTTTTGGCACAAAGACAATGGTGGCAGTGCCAAGCCCCATGGCTAAAACTACTCAAAAGAGGCATAAGGGTAGCATTAATCGCTCAAGTCTTTTACTGCATGGAGTACTGTTGTCCATATTTTAAAAACTAAAAGTACCCGTTAGTAACATTTGTCGTATGCCCATCAGGGAGGGGGGAATTCTGAAATACAAACCAGAAACAAATCTTGTCAGGCATTTGATTCATTTTTATACCTAAAAGGACCAAATGTTAAATTTTGCTGCTGGTGATGACTTGCCGTGCATGAAACCAATGATATGACCTCATGGAGTACACAGAGGGCTGAATGAAAGAGACAGAGAGGATTTCATAAACGAAGTCGACATATTGGCTAAACAACTTTCTTCTGCAAAAATGATGTATACAAGGAACATGTAATACTATGTCACAATTTTTTCAATTAAACAAGAAAAACGCTGTAAATGAGCAGACACAACATCCGTCAATCAATCCTTCTGGAGACAAAGGAGATCAACACGCAGCCCCTTCTCCAGAACAAGTCGGCATCTACAGTGAGCAAACAATCCAGAAAGTCAACATGTGTTCTGTCCAAATTGAACCCATCCGCTGCTAAAATCTATATTTAAATTTGATTATTAAAAATGGCACCAATCGACAATCAAGATGGAATTCGCTTGCTGCTTCTGTTGCCCCTGAAAAAATAAACTAAGCAGAAAAGAGAAGCAACTTCCAATTTTTTTAGAAGGCCAATATTTTTTGCTGATCTATTCAATAATCTTTTATCTTGCTGTCCCAAGAAGGAGAAAGAAAAAATGTATTTTTGTTTTAAATTTGAGGCAGTAGGGTTAAGAAATATTTTTAGAATTCCAAATTTAATATTTTTATATTCTTATATTATTTGCCATTTGACTTCCAAGTTTTCCTCCAATATACCCATGGGATCTTAGTGTAAAGGAATTAGATGACAATGAAAATACTACATGAAGGGGAAAATGTTCTCATAAACCCATTCCACTCAAAGGGATACTTATAAGATATCACCTTTGGTAGATTACTGCATCTGGACACATATGACAGCTCTAAGCCACACAGAAAGAGCGCCAGAGGCAGACAAGAGCAACTTATCAATAAAGTGATTTCTGGAGATAAGCTCAGACAGAGACAATCCTTCTGGTGTTTGACCAATAGGAAAATAACAGGGTCCTGCTTGGGTCTATGGCCTTTCATTCGTAAAAGGCCACTTTAAAAATTATATATAAATGGTAGGTGTTTCGCCCACTACTTAAATAGATGCACCTGTGTGGTAGAATATATCACCCCATGAAAAGCCTTGATGAAAAATTGTCTGATGCTGCAGGACAATACCAAGCAAGGCTGTTCCACTGTTAATCTTCATTCTGGGATCTAAAGAATGAGCCTTTTGTTCCCTAGCATCAGACTAAGGAACTCATCATAAACATGTTTGACTCAGAATAAATTTCTGTCCCTGTCCCCAGCCTCAACCCACCACTGCTTACCCTATTAATTTCTTTCTTTTGTTTGTGTGTGTTAATATATAGAGAAAGGACTATTTCATAAACAATGACAGGAATTTTTAGCGGTTCTGAAAGTATACGTGAAGTTATTACATACAGTCCTTT